CTTGCCGTCCTCCTTCATGCAGATTTAAACATCTTAATTTTATTGAATTGTATAATTGTAAATTAAGTTTTCAATTCTTTATCATAGCCATGTTGTGGGATTAGTGCTAGTAGTGGAGTAGCCTTCACTTGTACACGTTAGTAATTGAACCATAAGGTTCTGTATTATGCAGTATTGCGTACTTCCTGTTATCCTACTACATCCTACTTTTGCAAATGGAGGAATTCCACCACATATCAGATATGGCCAAGGCTAAGTTTGCAGGGGGATTCAGAATGTTTCTGCTGGGAGGGGCAGAAACGCCAATCAAAAAAACTACAGCTTGGTTTCCAAAACATGGATCACTACATGTACCCGAGTTATTAATTGAAAGGCTTCTTGACTCAATTAGGAAGGATTGTCACTTCAACTTGTTGTAGACCAATTGGAAAACTTCAAACCAGATTCCAATATTATCAAATTTTATGAATCTAACTTCCATATTTTCTATGACAGGAGGTATCTTAAACTAATATGCAAACAACACAGTCAAATAACTACATCCATGCTATCAAAACTGTAACTTGTTTTAAATGTACTTAAGTGTACAAACAACTCTGTGTAGTTAAGTCTAGCATGTAGGGATTCTATAGAATTGTGGAGTGTATTCATAATTATAAGTAAAATGTTTGATATACTTCTGCCAGAAAAAACACCCCGGAATCCGTAACTGACGTAAGGCAGTCACTAGACTAGACTAGACTGGAACCTTCGGGTTTAGGTCTGGCGGTATTTTAATTTTTTGTCTGACATTTCATTTCTTGGTTATTCTTTGTCTTGTGAATAGCAACACTACACTATCAAATCCTACTTTCCAATAATAAAACTGTTTTAAAGGATCTACAGTATCAATTAAAATTGATAGCCAAGAGATTGTTTAACAAAGCATTTTAAATGTCAATTTTATATTTTTTGGATAGAATAAGATAAATAATAGATGATTGTACAATTTTATATTTGATAGAATAAATAAATAATAGATGAAAGTATGGAAGGTTAATTTGAAATTGGCATCCCAGAGGAACCTATTGTTCATTTTTCTTGAATTTCTGAAATTGATAATTAATCATTTCATGAGGTTGGACTGTAGGTTTTTTAATTGAATATAGGATTCTGTTGTGACCATTTATACTCTATAGTAATATACCGTAAAAGTTAACGACTACTACTACTATTTTTGTTTTCTCTACATTGCATAGAGTATTATTTGCTATTTAAGTCTCCAAACAATTACCATTACTACAGGTACCTACTACTACTTGGGTTAATGTTTAGAATACTCAATTCTTTATCCACCTATATTTAACATTGATTTGAATAATTTAAATATTACTTTATTTAAAATACTAGTATGTTTGTTATCCAAAAAAAATTGTGATTGCATTTAATAATCCTCTAATGGTATAGTACTGTTATTCTTGAGAAATTCTGACCTTGGAGAGGGGAGATGGGGATGGTTTGGGGGTAGGGAGACATTTAATTTATTGTTCAAAATATTTTTCCACTAAATGCAGCTCCCAAGCATTATAATGTTACAAAATCGGCCATCCTCTAAATAATTATAATAATACTTTATTGATCGTGATAAAACAACATATAGAAAACAAGTTACTTCTTTTCGTAGACAGGTGGCTCAAGTTCTAATTTATTGAGTCTCAATGCACTTGAAACAAGTAAACAGATATAATTGGAAATACAAAATATTTATTATCAATCAATCAATCATTCAAACATTTATTTCTTCCAAAGAAAAAATACAATCTTAATAACTCTAGAAACTATAGAATTGAATTACAGTAGTTCTTTATAATATTTTACTTGGAATTATGATAAAAGATATGTTTTTTACCTTGTATGAAAAATGTTAACTAAAGGTTAAAGTGCATGTTTAACAGGCATGAATCAGGTGTTGACGAGGAGTTTGGTATGTGACAAAAAATACTACATGCATTTTTGCCTGGAAAGGTCCAAAATGTAAATGAACTCTGTCAACCCTGGTAATAAACATTCTCAGTATATTTTTTCTTACATTTGCAAACTCGTCCTAGTTATTGTGACTGTGTCCATCTCACCTATAAGATGCTTGCACTCCACTCCAGATGCCTTCACGTAGAATTCTGTAGAGAACTAGGTTTTTAACAAAACTTAAATCGTTTAAAGCCTCATAATGATGCTCGGGCCAATGATAATTATGGTTGGGCCAATTTCTACAGTATTTTATTTTGTAATTTGCGAATCATATGTACTTTACTTTTGAGGGAAGAAATGATATATATTTTATTTATATTTTTATGGGCTTACATATCAATTTTCAAAGCATTGTATGTAAAATGTTAGTATTGTGATTAGATAGGTAGAACAAATGTGTATATTATTAAAAATATCTTCCTTTAATTCTGTCAGGTTAAAAATTTAAGCATCCTGAGTATTGAATCACTGATTGGCTGTGAGCTAGTATGTTTTCATTGTTTTAGTATTTCCTAGATATTGGCTACTAATAATAATAGTTGTGCTGAAATTATATATCTCCTATGTTCTTGTTGCTAGGTAGAATAGCGTCCTCAATATTTAAATTTCTGTGATAAATATTCATTAGTTACATCAGACCATGTCTACCAAAAAATAATAATCAGAAAATAATTTGTTTTCTATCCAGACAAAGTCTGACCTATTTCTTTGATCTGTTTGTTTTTCCAGTTTGTTGCACTATTGTGATTAATTTACATTTGTCGTAAATTTTCATTTTAATTTAATAGACATGTTATTTGATATCAGTTTTCACCATGAAGGATTTAATTGTCTGAAGTTGATGAATGAATTGTATACTTTGAGTTCAAGTTATTTCAATAAGTGTGTTTATTAATGTAGGCCAATTTAAAGTGGAGTAATATGCTCTGCAATTAAATTTTCCAAATTAATACCCAACACTGATCATAAGCCTTTGATATAGCATGAGTTTATCTTGTGAATGGTGATGTTACAACATCTGTCAAACACCTTTACAATATCCCCTCCCATCAGGCATTCTGGTGCCAACTCTGCCAGTAACACTTGATGGACAATTAATTAATATCCTTTCTATTACATTTTAATAATTTGGAAAACAGTACATTTTTAATTATAGTTTTTAAGATTTAATATGTTATCTTAGAACTATTGGCATTCTTCCATGTTGGAATAAAGTCTGTTTTTTAATGCTTTTGTTTCTTTTCTATATTTTTTATGTATAGTGAGTTACTGGCAGAATGAAATGTCTTTGAATCAATAAAGTAAATGAAACATAGATATCTACTGTAAATGAAATGACGTGAGTTGGTGGTCTAGTGATTTCCTGCATGCTTCTGTATTATTACAGTAGGAAATGTATGATCCATTTGAATTGAATTGTTCATTTAGTAGATGTGGGAGGTCAATGACAATTGTGTTCTTCATATCATCAAAATTTGTACATTTTATATTGATCTTTTGTATATACTTTTCAACTAGACTTGAGATCTGATACTGAATGTTATGAAGGAAGTAGAGATAGGTTTAATATGTGCCTGTGTTCTTATGTAAAATCACTGCATCCACCACAATACTATTAATAATAATATAATATGTCAGACTAATATAGCGCTTAATGCCTCTAAAGGCTTCACATTATTACCACCCAGCCATTGTATCAAGCACTTATGGAACACATACTCAGCTCCCTGGGGAGAATTCCATAATTTTTCAGCTCTAATCTCGCACATTTTGTGTTTAAGCCTAGGTACCCACTTGTACTCCTGGGTAGAGAGAGACAACCATAGGTAAAGTGCCTTGCCTAAAGAACACAAACGAAATGCACAATAAGGAATCTAACCTCTGACCTCAAGGTTGAGATGCAGAAACGCAACCGCTGAACTTGATGGTCCTTTACAATTTTCTTAGTGAAACATTCATGATGTCTGTCTTCAAATTCCATTGACCTGGTACAGTCACTATAAAACAAGGTGTGAGTCTGGTGCGTTTGGTGATACCTGCCATTTAGTTTTAGGTTCCTGGGCACAGCTCGTGCAAAACTGTGTCTAATTCCGTGGAATTCAGTGATACCTGCATTCGAATTCCAGGTCCTGGATTCAGTCCAAGCAAAAGGTCTGAGCCTGAAGCATTCAGTGATACCTGGTCTTGGCTAAGTTGAAAATCACAGGTCTAGTTTTTCACTAATATCTCCAATTCTCATTCTAATTAGAGATATTGATAGTATTGATTGTCAGGGGTCAAAAGTCAAATCTGGGCGTTCTGCAGTGGCAGGTACATGAATTCGAAATAGAGGGCCCAGGAAGGGACATTACAGATGGAGGGTGTTGACGACCTCAGCCCCACAATAGAGGGCCCAGGGAGGGACATTACAGATGGAGGGTGTAGACGACCCCAGCCCCACAATGGAGGGCCCAGGGAGGGACATTACAGAATGAGGGTGTAGACAACCTCAGCCCCACAATAGAGGGCCCAGGGAGGGACATTACAGATGGAGGGTGTAGACGACCTCAGCCCCACAATAGAGGGCCCAGGGAGGGACATTACAGATGGAGGGTGTAGAGGGCCCAGGGAGGGACATTACAGATGGAGGGTGTAGACGACCTCAGCCCCACAATAGGCCCAGGGAGGGACATTACAGATGGAGGGTGTAGACGACCTCAGCCCCACATGGTTGGGGCTGATGAAAGTTTATGATTATGGCTCCGCTAGATGACTGGAAATGACACTCTTAAGACTTAAATTTGAATATAATTTTCATTTTCTCTTAATTTTTAAAAAATAATTTTTAAAAACTTAGGGAGATGCATCATTTTTCAGAAGATTTTTGCTTGCTTGCGTGAGTTTGGGAGGCTGTCTCAAGGTCCAGGAGAATCGCGCGAGTAGCGGGAGACTTTGGACCCCCGGATATCTTCTTATGGTATTTAGTGAATGGTTTATTTCCTCTTTCTCTGCAGCATTAATAAGGTGTGCGTCTGGCATTAGTATAGATAAATTAGTCCGTGTACCAATGGATTCCATTCCAGTCGTAGACAGGATACCTGTGGGGTGTTATGCATCCTGGCTAAGCAACAGTACCTCAAAATTCCCAGGTAAGTGCATTATTGTACTGTATTTGTTAATTTTCTCTATGTTTTATGTGTAATAAATATAGTGAAATTATAATGCATCTAAATTGGAGTAATTTCTGCATACCAATGTTAAATTTGTGTTAAGACAACTTCCCGGATACATAAGTGCTCAATTAGTAGTAATTTTTATTGATTTATATTTATTTATTGAAATATGTATGTACCTGTAGTGCCTTTCTTTGCAGACTATCATGATAATGAAGATCATGATCTTAACCGTCTATAATCATCGTCATTGTCATGCTTATAATCATCTTAATTTTTGTCATCGTTATCATCATCATTGTCATTATTAAATATTATTATTGCCATCATCATCAGTATAACCAGTATGACAATTGATCATTGTCAACATAATTATTAAATTCTTATCATATTGTCATCTTCATAATTGTCAATCGCCATCTTCATTATCATACTATGTGATAATTATATATTCAGTAGGAATGTATTAGAGTCTTGCAGGGTTTGAAAAACTCTACTGCGCTGTACTCTGAACAGTTTCTTGAAATATGTATATTTCCATTTGGTTTGTTTTTCTTGGCTGGGATTACTAGGTTTATAATTTTAGTTGAATTGATATTTATTGAGATTATTTAATTAATTATTAAAAACCACTTTTAAATGGATTAATGCTTGTGTCAGCAGTACAAAGTAATGAGCTTGTTTACTACAAATTGTTAGTATCATGGAAATTCAAATGAATTATTTAAAACCCTAGGAAGAAAACATGTTAGAAAACGAATACATATATCATGATTGAAAAATATAAATGTCTCTTTGAATTGTTTTCAATTGTAATTACAGAACTAATTTAAATACTACTTGTTTACCATATGGATTGTGGCTCCTCAAAGCTGGCGTGTCTAGACTACAGGTTGTTTAGACTTGCTATGGGAATTTATAGATACATCCATGCTAGCTTTCATTATGATGATGGGGATGATATTGATTATGATAGTCATAATAGATGATTTAATGATAATGATATGCCACTATTATTTGAGTTTCTCCAGACAATAATTGAAGGACAGATATCTCCCTCCTCCCCTCCTCGTCACCTCGCTTGTTGTTGACTGAGCATCACTGACAGTCAAATGTAGCTTATGTGCTTGAGTTTAGTATGTGCAGTGCTTCAGCTGAGAATTTACTCTGTAATATCAAAATGCTAAATATTCGTCGTTTGTACTATCTTCAAAAATCCTGAATGTGATTTGCAGAAGAAAGGAAATTGAAAAGGTCAAAAAGATTCATAACAAACAACATAAAAAATTTAGTATAATATTCATGATGATGAAGGTGATCCTGGTATTAAAGAAAATAAATATATGGATAATAATGATATTGATGTTAATCTGCTGATATTGATGAAGATGATAATGATTTTGATTATGATGGATGATTATGATGATGAGTAGTGAGTACAGTAAGTGTAGGATATTTTTGGTGTGATACAAAAGATGATGATGATGATGATGATGATGATGATGATGATGATTACATTGATGTTACTATATTTTCTGTTGATGTTTTTTTAAATATTACTATGCCTGTCAGCAGAAAACTGTAATTAAGTTTGTTTATTTTGTCTCTGACAAGGGAACACTTTTGTTTATTGTTTTTATAAGTTGCTAAAATAAATCAAACCATGATGGTGATCATTGAAATAAGTCATCTGGAATATAAATTTAATGAATATTAGTAATATAATGATAATATTATAATAATATGATATAATATATAATGAAATATATTGCATAATGATGATAAAGATTATACTGGTGATGGTAAAGGTAATAATGATAATAATGATTAAACTTATGATCAATACTTGGTAATAATGAAATTGGTGATAATACCAAGGTGGGGGTGCCAGCGTGGGGGCAGGGAGAATTTTCCCCTCTGTCGGACATGTCGGACCCCTTGTCAACAAATTTCTGGTGCCACTAGGACATTTCTGACCAATGGCCAGATAACAACTGTTTGTGTTTATGACAACGATATAGTGATGATGGCTGTGTTGTTGATGATGATATTAGATTATGGCAAAATGCTAAAATAGTGATAGTACATTTTGTGCGGCTGATTAATTGACCAGCTTTTTTGCCATCAATACATATTCACCTTTAGTCATCCATGAACCTAGCAAATATAAATGGATAGTAAAGAGGTCAGTCATTCGCCATTTCACATTGATTAATGTTGTAAAATGTCTGCTGATGTTGAGATGCCAGCCGTGCCACAGATAAATATCATGAGATGTTTGACAGATTTTGATTGTATTCAATAATGATTGAAGTACAGATGTGATTGGATCATTGTGTGTGCTTGTGATTCATTCCTTTCCATGCAGATTAACTGTAGGATTTCACCTTAAAATTATGAATGCTGAGGTTGTTTTTTTTTTTTCATGATTTTAAATGATAAGCTTTGTGTTTTTTTGACAATGGTGATTTGAAATCATGTATTATTTGCAGAAGCACAAATTTGAAGCAATTTAAAATAATAATATTTCATTAATAGTATTATAGGCCTACCGTTGAACTTGCCAGTCTAGTCAAAAATGGCATGTAAAATAAGGTCGATTGAGAAATTATTTTAGTTAGGCAAAGTCGATTGAGGCAAGTTTTACTGTATTTACAACTTATAATAAAGTGTTTTTAGGCCTCAGAATGCGACTAGCCATTTGTAAACAAAAACAATTAATTGACCTCTAGACACTTTTACCAAGCCTGAAGTTGAGACTTGCTTACAACATCAGTGTGCATTCTTAAAGCGGTGAATCACTCACAGTTGCCGCATGAAGTGGATAATAAATGCACACAATTGCACACATATCCATTTCTAAGATATGCTATTAAGATGCTTTATTAAGATGCTTTATTAAGTGTTTTGAGGCCTCAGAATGCGACTAGCCATTTGTAAACAAAAACAATTAATTGACCCCTAGACACTTTTACCAAGCCTGAAGTTGAGACTTGCTTACAACATCAGTGTGCATTCTTAAAGTGGTGAATCACTCACAGTTGCCGCATGAAGTGGATAATAAATGCACACAATTGCACACATATCCATTTCTAAGATATGCTATTAAGATGCTTTATAAGAAAAGAAAATTAACCAAGCATATGATATGTAAATTAGGCCTATTTGAAAATAAAATTCTAAATATCAAAAATTTATCAACATACAAAGACTCAACATCACTGGTTCATCAGATTGGAGACCCTCTCCATTCCTTCCCCTTCCCCTCCCCTTCCAATAATAGAGGTTAGGTAAAGGTAGGAAGGAGAATAACCTATAACTTACAGTGTCATTTTGCTGAATTTCGTATGGATGTGACTATCTTAGTTTACATCCTTCCACAACAACAGGGATAAACCACAGCATTGGGGTATCCCCCTACTCTTCCAAACAGATGCAATAGGTTCTTGAAAGTGTACACAAGCCAGATGTATACACTGGACCTCCTGTTGACTTGAACCAACACCGATGTAAAGGCTGTAGTTAGTGGCACCCCTGCCTTACCACTCGACCACTCGACTTTCCAATAATGGACTCTGGCATGTACAGTTAATCGTTGAAAATGCATATACAATGTTTGTGTAGGATTGAATGAAACCGGGCTTTTTTAATTTTCAATTTTACCATTTGCAAGGTACATCAATGAGTTACAAGTAAGTTATAAAATATATTATTTTAATGATTCTATCTTTTTTCTATTAAATCAAACTTTAAACCTTTGACCTGCTTTTTATAGAATATAAATTAGAATAGTGCCTTAAAGCAACCTAATAAACATATTTCCCTTCTAAAATAACTTACAAGTAAAGTTAATTTATGATACTTGTAGCGATGATGATTTTGTAAATACGTTTATTTGCATACACATATTTTTAAACTACACTATTGTTAAATTACACAGTCTGGATTCATTGTTAGAACTGTACTTTACAATACTGTTTGTATTTCTATTGAATGAACCTATTTATTAGTTAACTAAACTTTAATAACGTTTTAGCTTTCTCACCATAGAAATACTGAAACCCATGAACAAGCTATTATTGTCTATCCATGTTAATACTGTACTGAGTTTGATGAATTGAAGCACATAGTTTATAGTGTTTATTAACTCCATTTTCATTCACCTGTGAGTGGACTTTAAGTATCCATAATCATTTTTATATCCCTTGTTATTATCATAACATCATCTGCTAGCTGTGGTCACCTCAATTCATTTACACTTTACAAATGCATTTAACACTGTATTGTATATTTTATACCGATGTTAACCATGATTATGTATACCCAGTCTATCCATCATGTAGTGAATTCTGTAAGGGTGTTTGTAAATCTAGTGCTTATTTAGGTTTTTATTATATAAATTCAAACTGCCATAAAAGTACATTGCCTTCACATCTGAGCCTAAAACTGTCTTCCCTTTATGGGCGAGTTGAGTGGATGAGAGGTAAGCGCAGGCTAGGTAGTCACACACCATATCCATAGAAACATATATATCAGATTAATGTATAGCAGTTCAGAGAAAGCTGTAATACAGCTGCAAATATCAGTAAATGTGGCAGTTAAAATGATACATAAAATACATGTATCAATTACATACCAGTTAGATGAAACATTATGCAAGGCATGTATAGTTCAACTGCTATATCTTTCAATGCTACATTGGTGCTATTTAAGAGTTTTATCAGCTACATCCAGCTAGATCAGATCAATATCAATTAGTAGCAAAATAGCAGAAGATCTGCTATAGCAAAATCACTGCTTCACCAATGCTAGGTTGAGTTTTTTGAGCAATATCTAATCTATGATATACCTCTGGTTCTTGGTATTCAGTAGATATGACTATGCGCCTTAGTGAGCACAATGACGCTACAAGTTATGGGTTATTCTTCATACCGTTCCTACCAACTGTATAACCAGTAACTGTTTTGGTTTTGCGG